AGGGCCAGGAGGTCTCCCCTCAGCCTCCTCTTCTCCAGACTAAACAACCCCAAAAGTACCCCAACGCTCCCCGCACTGGGGCAGAACTGGGCAGCACACGTGTGCCAGCATCGCAGGGTCACCAGTGCCAGCCTCATCCCTTCCCTTTGGACACAAAAATCACCTCTCCCCCAAAAATAATCGTTGCAATGGGAAATTGTTAGTACAAGAAACCATCGTGGGGATGGGAAGTCATCACTGCCATCATGATCACCACCCCAGTGCCAGCTCAGGCAGCCGGGGCGCCTTTGCCATATGCAGATACATATGCATATATATACATATATACAAATATGTACTATGCATATAATCATTCTCCAGACTCCACGCTTTCCTGGCCCTGGGAGTTTTATCCCAGGATGGGGACTCAGCAAGCCAAGGCAGGATTTTCCAGTCCGCGGCATCTCATTCCCAAGAGGGTGGTGGGGAGCAGCACCCTGTGCCCAGCCTGGAAAGAAGCTGCCAGCATCTCCAGCTGGGAGAAAAGCCCCTTTTCCACAGGGAGGAAAACCACAAGGATTAGCATCAACGCCGGGAGGAGTCGGCAGCCGGTGGCAGGGAAGGGCCGGCTGGACTCGCCCGGCCGAGGAGGGGTCCAGCTCTTGGGGTGCCCCGCAGCCATTTAGGCACATGGGGGCTGTTCCCCCCACGCCAGGGAAATCAGGTTGAACCTCCCTCGTTTCCAGTCAACCCTGTAATTAGTGCTTTGCCCATGCTGGCAAGCAGGATCCGGCCCTGGGAAGGAGTTGTGGCTGCCTCAGGGTGTGAGGCAGGGACCGGCTGAGCCTGGAAAACTCATCTCACACCTGGTTGGCAAGCGGGCGTCGCTAGCCAGGGCTTGCCGTCCCTCTCCATGTGTCCCCCCTGTTTTCCTTTCTCCTTCCCAGCCCATTGCTCCCCCAAGTCTCTGGACGCTTTTGCAAAGCGTGACCCTGCCCTGTGGGGACCCCGGCTGCAGGCGTGGACCCACCCGCAAGGGCTTTTCCACCGCCCAAGTGATGCCCAAATCCCAGATCCCTCCTTCCAGGGTGGCTGTGGTGGGGACGAGCACCCTCCAGCCTGAGGACAGGGGGTTCACCGCCGCCAGACCCTCTCCCCAAAACTCGGGGAGGGGCTTTGCCACCCGTTTTGGGAATGGCCTTGACTGTGGGGATCCCGCAGCAGTGACTCAGGGATGCCGGGGGTTGCGAAACAGGCCTGGGATGGTTTGGGAGACGCCTCCACGCAGCCCCGCCAAGCCCAGCCGCCCCGGGGAGCCCGTCGGGCGAACAAGCCACGGCAGCGTCTGGGCTTTGCGCGGCGGCCGACCCGTCAGGCAGGTTTCCCGGAGCAGCGAGCCGAGCCGGAGAGAGATCCATCCCGGGCCGGGCATGCTCCTCCGCCTGCTCGCAGGCTGACGGAGCCCCCCGGCTCTCTCCTCGCCGCCGAAGCCATGCGGGCAGCTGGGTTGCTGCTGGCTTGGGCGCTGCTGTGTCCTGCCGGCACCCAGCAATGCCACCTCACCAGCCCCAGCGGCGTCCTCCGCTTCACCGACACGCACGCCGAGATTCGGGTGCCGGCGCTGCACCGGGTACCCAGCTCGCTCGATCCCCTCTACGGCCTCGTCCGGCACTGCCTGGACCTCATCCAGCAAAACCCCCTGCCCACAGGTGAGCCCCGACTTGGGGAACGGGCACCCCATGGCCACGGGCGCTGGGACTCCCAGGGTTTTGTGGTCCCTGGAGCTGGCTGCGATCCCCGTGTCTGGAGCTACTTCAGGGGGTCCGAGGCACTTCTCTGTGGGGGACGTGCCTCTGTCGCAGCCCCGCTGCCTGGGGAGGTCGTGGGGTGCACAGGGTGGGATTTCTCTTACTGGTGCCGTGGTTTTTTTTTGCAGAGCTGCTCAGGGCAGCCCTGAATGACCCCGGCTCAGTGCGGACATCGCAGGTGAGCCGGGACGTGGGGTGGGGGGATCCCACAGGGACGACACCCACCCGAGATAGGGCACCCCAAGCTGGGTGCATCAGTGCTGACTGGGCTCTTCCGTCACGCAGGTGGTGCAGTATGAGCTGGGCTACGTCGTCTGTGCCGCGGTGGCTCTGCTCTTCACCGTGGCTGTGCCGGTGGCTGGGATGTGCTTCTGCTACTGCCGGAGCCGCCGGCAGTGCGGGGGCCGCCTGCGTGCCCACCGGCGCTCGCTGGGCTGCCGCCGCCACT